GTAAAGCAAATGTTCACGTCTGAGATTCATTTTAGCATTTATAGAATAACTAAACTATAGCTGAACTTTAGTGAGGGGACATTGTTCCTCTTAGCATCATGAAAAAACCCTTTTGTTAAAATCATGAATGCATTACAGATAGCCTAGAATATGTGCAAAGAGTGCTCCCTTTAGAATTCCAAATACACTGAACCTATCACTCATCTCAGTTCACCGGTTCAACAGACATGTCTGTGATTGGTTACACTGCTCAATTCTGCAAACTTTGTAAATAGAAACATCTGATGCGCTCCAGAGCGGAAATGCAAATATGCACAGAAGAGTTTGCCAAATATGTTATTACGGTTTCAACTAAGGGTGCTCCTGGGGTTTTTTTTTTTTGTTTGTTTGTTTTGTGAGTGTTTGGCTCCCTAAACTGGGCGCGACACGATAAACTGCTTTCCATATGGATTTAATATGGAATGTTACTTAAATCTGGGAACAGTTGGCAATCCTACTTTGCATGTTTTAAACACTTAGATGATGTTCTTACTTTGCCCATGCATAAAATTACTCAGCTTTTTATATAAAAAAGTTCACAATGTAGCCTAATAAGCCTAATTTTCTTATTCTACATAAAACTGTTATTACGTTTTGTGCTCAAATTTATTCTATTGTAAACATTGTTTTAAATTGTGCTGGTATTACCTTATGAACTGTCCCATGCATTAAATACAAATCCTTTGAAAGAGCACAGTTTGCTGACGTATTAATACGAATTTCTCAGGTAATGTCCGTGGTATGATGAGAATGACAGTGATTAGCTTACATCAAATATATTTTAATTGTTTTATCAAAATTATTGCTAGGAACAATTCAGTTACACCCCTACTAAATTTTACATCCTTGAATTGAAGGATTTTTTTATGAACAAATTTGGGAAAAAAAAAAATACAAGTTTCCAAAGTGTAATGAAGTCTGGGATAGATCGCATTATCTGCCTCGGGCAACAGCAGCACAGAGCATGAGTTAAATGAACATTTCTTTACTTTAATGCATAACATGTATAACATATAACATAACATAATATATATATATTACATTGAAAAAATTATGACCAAGATTTTATTACGTTTTGAGAATTATTACATTATTGATGTAATAAAATGCTCATAATGTAATACTTATTAAATTATGTGCAGTTTCTACATTATGTGCAGTTATTCCCCCCAATAACTTGTACTGGACACTTTAGAAAACATTTTGGATGCTAAATGACAAGGAATAATGTCATAGGTCCACTTGTTGAAGAATTGTAGTTTTCTGGCATATGAGTAGGTGTGTATATGGGTGCCCCAGGTGATCCTTGAGGTGTCTCAATGTCAGAGTGACACTTTTGACACAGACCGGTCAGGGAAGTCACATGACAGGAATCCAAAGACTATAACGTTCATGACCGCTTTGTGGAGTTACCAGGTCAGTGGTGTGCAGAGAAACATATCAGGTCCTCTTAAACACAAGTGGCCAATTTAATATGCATTTCTTTACCAATGTTTTGGTGCTCTTGAGTCAGTTTGTTAATTTAATTGTTTAACTTGATCTGGCCAGGCTTAATGTACGTGAAGTGCCACTCAAATGACTACTGAAAATGAGAAACTTGTCAAATTTAAAGTTTCAAGGCCAGTTTTCTACCCCAAGAGATTGTGCCATTAGTTAACATGTAACCTTGTTACTTTTTCAATTCTCTTTATTTTCTCAGATTTGAAGTTTAAGATCAATTTTAAGATTGGCTTTTCGGTTTAGGTTGCACGTGCCAAGACTGTATTGTTCTGTCAGACGTCGTCATCTAACGGGTAAGTGATATTTCTGTCAGGTATGTCTTGTCTGACAGTGCCCATCTAATTTTAAAATCAGTATGAAATGCAGGAGTGCCACTTTGTACGTCAAAATGTACTTCTGTGCATTTATAGTAATTTCCCTAAAACTTGCATTTTTCTTCTTCAGGTCTACAAAATCCCTCCCTGACACTCTGGGTAGAACTCCTGTTAAGGTTAGCTAGAATATGTAAAGTCTCCATTATTTGCAGAAATTGGTCATTTCATTTATATTAGACAGTTGTACATTCAAGAATGCTCTAGTTTGCCTAATCTAGCTTTATAATAAATCTGGAATTGTACACTGAATATTGTCAGCTCTCTGACTAATTACTTATGCCCCTCTATTTTAAGTAGCTTTGGACAAAAGCATCTGCTAAATGCATAAATATAAATTATGTAAAATGTGGTTGATTACAGAAGAAAATTAAGGTGATGCATTCAGATGAATGGTGTCTCCGCAAGGACACTCCACATGCTGTCTACAGCAGGAGAAAGCCCAGAGCTAAGGGCAAACTCAAAGGTAGTTACTCATCCTACATTACTACATTACTTTATAAATCATTCAGATATGCTGCATCCTTTTTGTGTGCTGTTGTATTTTATTTTATTTTATTTTTTTACTTCCATAGTTCTTCCTCTTTCATCACCCAGCAGTAATGAGGAGGAGTTTTCTAAGGTAGACTGTCACTTTTCAGTAGATTTTTTTTTTTTTTAGTGGGGAAAAAATAGCTACATTTTATACAGGGTATAAAAATGTGGGTCTTTATGAATTTTCTTCCTAGTATTCAACACCCAAACAAAGACTTCAAGGAAGGGAAAGGCTGGCAAGTGAAGACTGGCAGTCTCAAGTCAAACTAGGGAGATCACTGAACATGGAATCATCCTTATTCAAAGAGTCTACTGCTGATTCAGGTCAGTATGCTTGCTTAAGGCTAATCTCAGAAGATGGCTTATACTGATTTAAAACTGACCTGTTGTTGTTGTTTCTTCAAGGTTTTCAAAACAAGACTCTTTCTGAAACCAGTTTACCACTAGAGGAGCTTGATAATCTTATTGAAGAGGTACAAGTTGATTTCAATATGGTGTGCTTATAATGCATATTTATATTAAAAATATATACATATTCAGCACAATTTGGATGAAGAAACATCAATTCCCCAGAAAAGTGAAGCAGATGAATCCTCAGGTGAGACACCCCCCACAACCCCGCCTTTTTGATAGTGTTTACATCAAAGCCTCTAAAAATCTTCAGAAATAAGTAACAATTTCAATGTTTAATTGAGGACACGTATTTGCTGCACAGAGCTGTATGTGGGTCTGAAAGAGGACACGCAGCTGCACAGACACCCGGCATTCCAACCCAGAAGACTTTTCATGTCTAGCCCACTAGAGGATGCTGCAGGTAAATTTGTTCAGTCTTCAACCGCTTGCGATCAGTCACATTCATGCTGAACCCACATAAGCTTGACCCTTGAGCTTTCCAATGCATTTGAGAGTATTGAATCTAGTCAAATTCATAGTTATTTGTTTTTCTCCCTTTGGAGTTAAAAAAAAACAAAACTTTTTTTTCCCCCCTAAAAAAATTGTGGAGCTGAAGAGCATTAGCTTGGACAGCCACACAAGATTCAAGTCCATCACAGATTTACAGTTATGCATTTGGCAGATGGTTATACAAAGCAACTTATACACTGCGAGTCCGGGCCCTCAAGCTTCACTTTTTCAAGTCTCTGCTCTATGCTTTTTCTGCTTGAGAGAAAGTGACGTGTAGCCAAGTATGGTGTGCCATACTCTGAATTTATGCTCTGCATTTAACCCATCCAATTGCACACACAACATGTAGTAGCAAGTAGTGAACGCACACCGTGAACCAGGGCCATCCTTAGCTGACGCAGGCAGGGCCTGGTGCGAAGTAGAGAACGTATATTAAATAGATTGCCTCAAGCCCAGGGCCCGGTGCGGACGCACCAGTTGCACCCCCATAAGGACCTGCCATGAACACACACCCAGAACAGTGGGCAGCCATTTTTGCTGTGGCGCCGGGGGAGCAGTTGGGGGTTCGGTGCATTGCTCAAGGGTCTCCCCTCAGTCATGGTTACAAGTCAGATTCTCTAACCATTAGGCCACGACTGCCCCATTTTTCACTTTCACTTTTTTTCAAGTCTCTGCTCTGCTTTTTCTGCTTGAGAGAAGGATAAAAAGCAGCCATTGTGTGCTGCTGCTCGCTGCCAACAAAGAGTGACATGAATGTCTAATGAGAAGAGCTCTCTCTATCTCTCTCTCTGCACTTGTGTACCTACCTACTTAACCATATTTTTGTGAAAAACATTGTACTCCGAAGCTTGAGTTTGTCAAAATGCCCCATCCTCATTTGCAAAAATTATATGATATTTAAAAATGTGTCTCTCTGTGTCAGAGCGAGTAACTGAAGCATTTGCGGATGAGGAGTCTGAGGAAGAGTTGGGTGCTGGTGTCAGAGCTGCGTTTAACTCCTTTAAGACTCAGTTGAGAGCACACTTTACTGTGAGTACAAAAGCTAACTGCAGCCATTTTGTTTAGTTACTTTTTTGGCATTAAGATTAGCAAAAGTTTAGTTCTATGTTCTATGTCTTTTTATTAAAGAAAAAAAAAGTCTACGTAATGCTATTCCATAGTTTTTTGTTTTGGTTTTTTTTTTGGTCCAAGCTGTTTTTCCATTCAGTAAAAGTGAATGGGTGCTGTCAAACTGCTAAAAGCACACACAAACAAAAACATCAGTAGTCCATACAATTGAATTTTTTTTCCCCGAAATATAGAGTAAACTGCAGTTCACTTCTCACTTCTGATGAAGATTGAGATTGAAAAATTAATTTAAAAGTATTGATACACCAAAAATAAAAGAATTGTTCATGAAAGAGGGAAAACTAAAAGAAAATATCTTGCTATACAGTGGCCACCAGCTGTTTTAATGACTACACTGTATCTCATCCTCATGAACTGCACCATATTTGCATGTTCTTGCTGTGAGATGGTACTCCACTCTTTCACCAAGACATTTGCAAGTTCTTGAACATGTGTACTCATGTGTCCCTCCAGACGTGGTTTGTTATTGCAAGGACAGTTAGCTGTTCTTCCTGTGGCACTGTCTTAGGCCTCTTACATTACGGACATTGTAGTTTATTGCTCCGACCACGTCTGTAGTCCTAATATCTCCCTGCAGCAGGATTTTGGCATATTCACAAAGGTGATCAGGGAACCTGGGTGTCTTTTTTTCTGTTTTCAGAGTCTGTAGAAAAGTCTCTTAAATATCTTAAGTTATTATAACTGTGACCATAGTTGCCCAACCACCTGTAAAACAAACAATAAGCATCGTAGGGACTGTTCCACAAGTGCATGTTCAATGGGCCATAAACGAAGTATGAAAAATATTTAAACCCTTTCCAATAATGTTCCGTAAAGCCTATTTGGATTATTCTAAATTCTGTAAAATATACCATTGTGAAAAAGGGACATTTCTATTTGAGTTTAGATAAGTATTCAGAGACTCGAACATGTAAGATTACATAAAAGCAACAGATAAAGCTTTTAAATTGATTAAGGCTTAGATAGATAAATAGGTGTGTGCGTGTGTGTGTGTGT